TTGTTCTCGCAATTCTGCACTCGCTAGACGCTTGTTCTCGCAATTCTGCACTCGCTAGACGCTGATTCTGACAATTCTGCACTCGCTAGACGCTTGTTCTCGCAGTTCTCGCTAGACGCTTGTTTTTGCAATTCTGCACTCGCTAGATGCTTGTTCTGACAATTCTCCACTTGCTAGACGCTTGTTCTGACAATTCTGCACTCGCTAGACGCTTGTTCGCAACTCTGCACTCGCTAGACGCTTGTTCTTGCAATTCTGCACTCGCTAGACGCTTGTTCTGACATTCTTCACTCGCTAGACGCTTGGTCTCGCAATTCTCCACTCGCTAGATGCTTGTTCTGACAATTCTGCACTCGCTAGATGCTTGTTCTCGCAGTTCTGCACTCACTAGACGCTTGTTCTCGCAATTCTGCACTCGCTAGACGCTTGTTCTTGCAATTCTGCACTCGCTATACGCTGATTCTGACAATTCTGCACTCGCTAGACGCTTGTTCTTGCAATTCTGCACTCGCTAGACGCTTGTTCTTGCAATTCTGCACTCGCTAGATGCTTGTTCTCGCAATTCTGCACTCGCTAGACGCTTGTTCTTGCAATTTCGCACTCGCTAGACGCTTGTTCTTGCAACTCGCTAGACGCTTGCTCTCGCAATTCTGCACTCGCTAGACGCTTAATCTCGCAATTCTGCACTCGCTAGACGCTTGTTCTCGCAGTTTTGCACTCGCTAGACGCTTGTTCTCGCGTTTTCGAGCAAAAATGGCTCACGACGCCCCGGGGCGGGCCCGCCCCAAATAGGGTGGGACGCACGTTTGTGCGCGTTTGGAGCCAAGACCCATCCTGGATGGCGCGTGGGGGTATGGCGTGCATAATCGTGTGAAGAAATGCCATGCGATTCGCATTTTTCTACACTCGTGCGGACCGTTTCGCGTTTTCGAGCAAAAATGGCTCACGACGCCCCGGGGCGGGCCCGCCCCAAATAAGGTGGTACGCACGTTTGTGCGCGTTTGGAGCCGAGACCCATCCTGGATGGCGCGTGGGGGTATGGCGTGCAGGATCGTGCGAAGAAATGCCGTGCGATTCGCATTTTTCCACAGTCGTGCGGACCGTTTCGCGTTTTCGAGCAAAAATGGCTCACGACGCCCCGGGGCGGGCCCGCCCCAAATAGGGTGGGACGCACGTTTGTGCGCGTTTGGAGCCGAGACCCATCCTGGATGGCGCGTGGGGGTATGGCGTGCAGGATCGTGTGAATAAATGCCATGCGATTCGCATTTTTCTACAGTCGTGCGGACCGTTTCGCGTTTTCGAGCAAAAATGGCTCACGACGCCCCGGGGCGGGCCCGCCCCAAATAGGGTGGGACGCACGTTTGTGCGCGTTTGGAGCCAAGACCCATCCTGGATGGCGCGTGGGGGTATGGCGTGCATAATCGTGTGAAGAAATGCCATGCGATTCGCATTTTTCTACACTCGTGCGGACCGTTTCGCGTTTTCGAGCAAAAATGGCTCACGACGCCCCGGGGCGGGCCCGCCCCAAATAAGGTGGTACGCACGTTTGTGCGCGTTTGGAGCCGAGACCCATCCTGGATGGCGCGTGGGGGTATGGCGTGCAGGATCGTGCGAAGAAATGCCGTGCGATTCGCATTTTTCCACAGTCGTGCGGACCGTTTCGCGTTTTCGAGCAAAAATGGCTCACGACGCCCCGGGGCGGGCCCGCCCCAAATAGGGTGGGACGCACGTTTGTGCGCGTTTGGAGCCGAGACCCATCCTGGATGGCGCGTGGGGGTATGGCGTGCAGGATCGTGTGAATAAATGCCATGCGATTCGCATTTTTCTACAGTCGTGCGGACCGTTTCGCGTTTTCGAGCAAAAATGGCTCACGACGCCCCGGGGCGGGCCCGCCCCAAATAGGGTGGGACGCACGTTTGTGCGCGTTTGGAGCCGAGACCCATCCTGGATGGCGCGTGGGGGTATGGCGTGCAGGATCGTGCGAAGAAATGCCGTGCGATTCGCATTTTTCTACACCCGTGCGGACCGTTTCGCGTTTTCGAGCAAAAATGGCTCACGACGCCCCGGGGCGGTGTCAAACATTATACATGTTGTATTTGTGTAGGCTGTAGTGGGTTAGCCTATAGGGGGTCACAACATTAGGGTTTCATATTTGTACTCACAATCCTTGTTAGTTCATCATTCCAGTCCGTTATTACTGACATGGTTTCAGAGCAGGTCCTTCGCTAGGACCGTTCTTAGGGCCCACCGTTACCTACCTACCTACTGTGCGCCTCGTGCGCCTACGCGCCCTCGTGCGCCTCCTACCTACCGCGCGCGCGCAGCCCGCCAGCCGCCCGCGCGCGACTCGACTTTTTTTTTAGCGCGCGTATCCCGCTAGCCGCCCGCGCGCGGTCGATTTCGCTGCGCGCGCCCCGCTAGCCGCACGCGCGCGGCTGTTTTTCTTTACGCGCGGCCCCGCACGCTGCCCGCGCGCTGCTCGTGCGCCTCGCTGACGTGACCGCTGCTGCAGCCGCCCGTCGCCCGCTCGCGCGCACCCCGCCGTGGCCCCGCAGGCCCGCAGCTCGCCGCCGCAGCTGCCGCACGCCCGTTGCCCGCAGCCGCCCGTCCGCCGACGCCGCTGCCGCCCGTGCACCGACGCCGCTGCCACCTGTGCGCTGCTGCCGCTGCTGCTTGCGCACCGCTCGCTGCTGCAGCCGCCCGTGCGCTGTCGGCGCTGCTGCCCGTGCGCATAAGCCGCTGCCGCCCGTGCGCCTTTGCAGCCGCCGCCCGCGAGTCGCCCGCTACCGCTAGTGCGCCGCAGGCCAGCAGCCGCTGCCGCTCGCGCACGCCCTGCAGGCCCGCAGCCCGCCGTCGCAGCGGCTGCCCGCCCGCAGCCGCTCGTCGCCTGCTCGCAGCCGTTAGTACGCCGCTGCTTCCGCTGCTGCTTGTGCACCGCTGCTGCCCGTGCGCCTCTGCAGCCGCTGCCCGCGAGGCACTCGATCTCACTGCTGTTTTGTTTTCTACCTACCGCGCACACTGCTACCACTGCAGCTGCCACCAGTGCGCCGTTGCAGTTCCTGCTGCCACGCTTCCTACTAGCTTTCGATGCCGAGGGCCGTCCAGTGAAGTTCGAAACCTGGCTCGATGACCTGCACCTGTTCCTACAGCTCACTGCCAAGGAAGATATCTCACTGTACGACCACGCCCTAGGCCATGCCACTGCCCCTGACTCGTCTGCTGACAGCACTCTGCGTTCCCAGTGGCAGACCCGTGATGCGCACGCTCGCTTTGCTATACGCAACTCCCTGCCGCTAGACGAGCGCGAGCACTTCGGCCAGTGCAAGACTGCTAAGGACCTCTACACCGCTGTAGTTGCCCGCTACTCCTCACCCGCTTCTGCCACGCTAGGCCGCCTCACTCTCCCCTACCTGTTCCCCGACCTAGCCTCCTTTCACACTGTCGCAGACCTCATCACCCACCTTAAGACTAGTGAGGCCCGCTTTCGCGCTGCTATGCCTGCCGAGTTTCTCACTAGCAACCCCCCCCCGCTCTGGATCACTCTCTACCACATCGTCACCCGCCTCCCTGACTCTCTGCGCGCAGTCAGGGACCACTTCCTCTCTCGCTCCCCCACTGAGCTCACTGTTGCCCTCCTCGAGAAGGAACTGCTTGCAGCTGAGGCGAGCATCGTCGCTGTAGGCACCTCTCGTGGCGACCCCCGCACCCCGTTCTTTGAGGGGTGTTCCCCTTCCCCCCTCCTCCCCTCTGTCGCCTCTGCTGCTGCTGTCGACCTTCTTGGTGCTGAGAAGGTCGGGACCGCGTCTGCTTCGAGCGGGCGCCGCAGGAACAAGGGGGGCAGGGGTGGGGGTGGTGGCGGAGGAGGTGGGGGTGGAGGCGGTGCGAGTGGAGGCGCGGCTGGGGAGACTAGTGGCGGCAGTGGGGGAGGAGACAGCAGCGGCGGGAGTGGTGGTGGAGGCGGCAGCGGAGGCGGAGGTGGTCGTGGTGGCGGCAGGGGTGGAGGTGGCCGGGGCGGCGGCGGTGGGGGTGGTGGTCGTGGAGGCACTGGCGGAGGGCAGAGTCAGCAGCCCGCCCCGACACTTCAGGCCGCCCGTGAGTGGTATGCGCAGCGTAGCGTTACCTGCACGTACGTCATTCGCACAGGTGACCGCAGCGGCCAGCAGTGTGGGAGGCCGCACCCCACGCAGCGCTGCTTCGCGCGCCTTAACGACGCGTGGCGCACTCAGTTTCCTGCTGCCACTGAGCTGCCGCGCTGGGCTGATCTGGAAAAGAGGGGCGTTGATATTTGGGCTTTAGACTTTGATGCTATTCTCACTGCCATGTATGCAATGTCTATTAGTGGAGAGGGTGCTCAGTACTTGCGTGTTCCGCCCGACCCGAGCATTCAGGCCAGTCCGGCTGCCGCTCTAGGTGCTAGTGCGTCTGCTCCCACAGGTCCTGGTGAGGCCGCTGCCCTAGGTGCTCGTGCGTCCGTGCCCCCTGGTACTGAGTCGACTGCAGCACTGCACACCTTCACACTGGACTCAGGTGCTTCTCGCTCCTTCTTTCGTGACCGCACTGTCCTTGAGCCACTCGCTCGGCCAGTTGCTGTCTCCCTTGCTGACCCCTCTGGGGGTCCGGTCATTGCGACCTCCTCCACTGTCCTTCCTTGTCTTGCGGTCCCGTCCGGCACGCTGTCAGGTCTCTACCTCCCCTCGTTCTCTACGAACTTGGTGGCAGGTAGTGCGCTCCAGGACGGGGGTGTTCACCAGTTCACCCCTGCCTACGAGCGCGTGACACACTGCACGTGTGCTCGGACGGGTCGCCACCTGGCTACCTTCACTCGGGAGCCGGGGTCGGACCTCTACACACTGACCACTGAGTCCCCTCAGGTAGCTGCGTCTGCGTCTGCGTCTGCGTCAGGTCAGCTGTCCGCCCCCTGCTCGTGTCGCTCTCTGGCGCATGAGACGGTCCTTTGGCACCACCGCCTTGGTCACCCGTCTGTGCAGCGCCTTCGGGCCATGCACAAACGGGACCTTGTTGCTGGTCTTCCCAGGGTGCTCCCTCCCCTTCCCGACTCGCCTGCTCCTCCCTGTATTCCCTGTGTCGAGGGACGGCAGCGCGCCGCTCCTCACTCCTCCTCCTTTCCCCCGACGACTGCTCCCTTGCAGACGCTCCACATGGACGTGTGGGGTCCAGCCCGCGTCCGTGGTCAGGGTCAAGAGAGGTACTTCCTGATTGTTGTTGACGACTTCTCGCGCTACACCACGGTCTTCCCCTTGCGCGCCAAGGGTGACGTCCCTGATGTCTTGATCCCTTGGATCCGCAGATCTCGTCTCCAGCTCCGTGAGCGTTTCCGCTCCGACTTCCCTGTCCTGCGTCTGCACTCTGACAGAGGTGGGGAGTTTTCCTCTGGCCTATTGGAGGCCTTCTGTCAGCAGGAGGGCATTGAGCAGTCGTACACGCTTCCGGCCTCTCCACAGCAGAATGGGGTTGCTGAGCGCCGCATTGGTCTGGTCATGGAGGTCGCTCGTACCTCCTTGAGCCATGCGGCTGCCCCCCATTTTCTGTGGCCGTTTGCAGTCCGATACGCTGCGCATCAGCTCAACCTCTGGCCCCGTGTCTCCTTGCCCGAGACTTCTCCGACACTGCGTTGGACGGGAGAGGCTGGCGATGCGTCGCGTTTTCGGGTCTGGGGATCCCGAGCTTTTGTCCGCGACACGTCCGCGGACAAGCTCTCCCGTCGCGCTGTCCCCTGCGTCTTCCTTGGCTTTGTCCCGGACGCCCCTGGCTGGCAGTTCTACCACCCCACCTCGCGTCGTGTCCTGGCCTCTCAGGACGTCACTTTTGACGAGTCCGTCCCCTACTACCGCCTCTTCCCCTACCGCACTGCCCCGCTCCCCCCCCCGCCTCTCTTCCTCGCTCCAGGTGCTGAGGTACCAGACCCCCTCCCCCCTCAGGGTGCCGCTCCCTCAGGTGTGTCCCAGGTAGACCCGGGTGAGCCTGTCGAGGTAGCTGTTGACTCTCGTCCTGCTAGGGGTGCTGAGCCTGGGGGTGCTGCGTCTGGGGGTGCTGAGCCTGGGGGTGCTGCGTCTGGGGGTGCTGAGCCTGGGAGTGCTGAGTCTGGGGGTGCGGAGCCTGGGGGTGTTGAGCCTGGAGGTGCGGAGCCTGGAGGTGCGGAGCCTGGAGGTGCTGAGCCTGGGGGTGCTGAGTCTGGGGGTGCTGAGCCTGAGCGTGCTACACCTGGAGGAGCCCTCTCCTCCCAGCAGCTGCAGGAGAGGTACCTCGAGTACTGCCGCCTCCGGAGAGGTGCTGCTGGAGCTCGTCCCGGTACTTCCCCTCCTACCCAGGAGCTCCCCCCCATTCAGCAGATCCGCGAGTGGTACACACGGCGCTGCAGTCTTCGGAGTGGTGCTCCTGGTGCTGCGGACCTTGGGGGTGGCGCTGCTGCTGGTGCTGAGGACCCGGACGTGGGAGCTGCTGCTGGTGCTGCGGACCCGCCTGGTGGAGCTGCTGCTGGTGCTGAGGACCCGGACGGTGGAGCTGCTGCTGGTGCTGAGGACTCGGACGGTGGAGCTGCTGCTGGAGCTGAGGACCCGAGCGGTGGCACTGCTGCTGTTGCTGAGGACCCGGGCGTTGGAGCTACTACTGGTGCTGAGGACCCGGCCGGTGGAGCTGCTGCTGGTGCTGTGGACCCGGACGCTGGAGCTCCTACTGGTACTGAGGACCCGGCCGCTGGAGTCTCTTCTGCTTCTGGAGACGCTGCGCGGCCGCGACCGTACTTCGTACCGCTCCTTCAGCAGGTTCTTGGGCAGGCTCCTCCTCCTTGTCCTCCTCCCTCCGTAGAGTGTCCTCCACCTGTCCAGCCGCAGTCACAGTTACCGTCTACCTCGCCTCTCCCTGCTCCCCCTCCTTACACTGGTCCCACAGGAGGTCTTACAGAGCGTCGTGAGCCTGAGTCTCGTCCTGCGTCGCCTGTTCGTCCTGCTCGCACTGGTAGTCGTGTCCGTCATGAGCGTCCTCCTCCTGTCCCAAGCACTCACTACATGACTCTGCGTCCCTCTACTGCTCCTCAGCGTGTCCCTCTACCGTCTCCTCCTGCGTCCTCTTTGCCTGCCGTTCCGGACCCTGAGTCTGACCGGTATCGTGCTGAGCACCCTACTGTCACGCGTCTCCTTGCTACTGTTGTCACTGACCCTACCTTTGAGTCCTCGGCTGCGTCTGCTCTGGTCGCTGAGTTGGTTGACTTTGCTGCTGCCTGTCGTCTAGACTACGCTGCTAGCCTTGTTGCTGAGTCTGAGTCTGTCTGTCCTCCGTCCGTCGGGGGTGAGTGTGCTCTTGGCACGGACGTCCTTGAGGACAGACAGGAGGAGTTGCTTGCTGCTGCTTTGCCCCGTCTCGTGTCCTTGCTAGTTGCCCCTGAGGGAGACCCGGATGCACCAGACATCCCGACCCCGCGCACTTACGCTGAGGCGATGGCGGGTCCCTACTCCTCTCAGTGGCAGACAGCCATGGACGCCGAGATGGCTTCCTGGAAGTCCACACGCACCTACGTCGACGAGGTTCCCCCTCCTGGGGCGAACATCGTCAGTGGCATGTGGATTTTCAGGGTGAAGCGGCCGCCAGGTTCTCCGCCTGTCTTCAAGGCGCGTTACGTGGCTCGAGGCTTCAGTCAGCGAGAAGGAGTTGACTTCTTCCAGACCTTCTCCCCCACCCCGAAGATGACTACTCTTCGGGTGCTGCTACACATAGCCGCTCACCGCGACTACGAGCTTCACTCACTTGACTTCAGCACTGCTTTCTTGCAGGGCAGCCTGCACGAGGAGATCTGGCTGCGCCGCCCACCTGGCTTCACTGGGTCGTTTCCTCCTGGTACCCAGTGGAGGCTTCAGCGGCCGGTCTACGGTCTCCGCCAGGCTCCGCGTGAGTGGCACGACACACTGAGGACTACACTTGCGGCTCTTGGGTTCGCGCCTTCTACAGCTGACCCGTCGCTGTTCCTGCGCACCGACACTTCGCTGCCGCCGTTCTACGTCCTCGTGTACGTCGATGACTTGGTCTTTGCCACTGCTGACACTGCAGGACTCGCCTACGTGAAGTCGGAGCTGCAGAGGAGACACACGTGCACAGACCTGGGTGAGCTGACAAGCTATCTTGGCTTGCGGATCACCCGGGACAGAGCACGGCGCACCATCACCCTGACTCAGTCACACATGGTGCAGCAGGTTCTCCAGCGCTTCCGCTTCACGTACTCCTCGCCTCAGTCCACTCCTCTGCCTACCGGTCACTCGCTCTCAGCTCTGCCTTCGGATGAGTCCGTAGAGCCGAGTGGCCCGTATCCAGAGCTTGTGGGCTGCCTCATGTACCTGATGACCTGCACTCGACCTGACCTTGCATACCCTCTTAGCATCCTTGCACGCTATGTCGCTCCTGGCCGTCACAGGAAGGAGCACATGGATGCCGCTAAGAGGGTGTTGCGCTACTTGTGCAGTACGTCGGGCATGGGGCTTGTGCTTGGAGGGCGAGACCGAGTTGTTCTCACAGGGCACTCAGACGCTTCTTGGGCAGACGACCAGGCCACTCAGCGGTCGTCTCAGGGTTACACCTTCAGCCTTGGCTCTGGCTCAGTTTCTTGGCGCTCTACACGCTCTTCTTCTGTTCTCAGCTCCAGTTGCGAGGCTGAGATCTACGCTACAGCCATGGCTGCCCAGGAGCTACGCTGGCTGACCTACCTGCTGACCGACCTCGGAGAGCGGCCTCGTTCTCCTCCAGTACTGTACGTCGACAACAAGGCTGCCATTGCCTTGTGTGAGGAGCACAGACTGGAGCACAGAACGAAGCACATCGCCCTGCGGTACTTCCTTGCTCGTGAGCTACAGCAGCGCGGTCAGCTTTGTATTCGCTACGTGGCCACTGAGGCCAACACTGCTGATGTGTTCACCAAGGCACTTCAGCCTCGTGACCATCAGCGCTTCTGCACTCTACTAGGCCTTGTGCCTACTGGACCTCACTTACTTACCTCTTGACTTTGCTTGTACTGTGATCACTATATATATCTATACCTGCATGTTTACTCTTGCTAGGTTGTGATCACTGTATCTCTTGTTCTGTTATAAACCTGCATGTGAACTGGTCTTGTGACCACTAGCTTGTGCTCGGAATTTGTGTGGAATCCTTGAGATCCACCCTGAGCTTGTTGTTGCCTTGCTTTGCCTTGACTGGTCTTGTGACCCCTAGGTCTCCCCCACTTTGCCTATGGGGGTGTGTCAAACATTATACATGTTGTATTTGTGTAGGCTGTAGTGGGTTAGCCTATAGGGGGTCACAACATTAGGGTTTCATGTTTCTACTCACAATCCTTGTTAGTTCATCATTCCAGTCCGTTATTACTGACAGGCGGGCCCGCCCCAAATAGGGTGGGACGCACGTTTGTGCGCGTTTGGAGCCGAGACCCATCCTGGATGGCGCGTGGGGGTATGGCGTGCAGGATCGTGCGAAGAAATGCCGTGCGATTCGCATTTTCCTGCACTCGTATAGACCGTTTCGCGTTTTCGAGCAAAAATGGCTCACGACGCCCCGGGGCGGGCCCGCCCCAAATAGGGTGGGACGCACGTTTGTGCGCGTTTGGAGCCGAGACCCATCCTGGATGGCGCGTGGGGGTATGGCGTGCAGGATCGTGCGAAGAAATGCCGTGCGATTCGCATTTTTCTACACTCATGCGAACCGTTTCGCGTTTTCGAGCAAAAATGGCTCACGACGCCCCGGGGCGGGCCCGCCCCAAATAGGGTGGGACGCACGTTTGTGCGCGTTTGGAGCCGAGACCCATCCAAGATGGCGCGTGGGGGTATGGCGTGCAGGATCGTGCGAAGAAATGCCGTGCGATTCGCATTTTTCTACACTCGTGCGAACCGTTTCGCGTTTTCGAGCAAAAATGGCTCACGACGCCCAGGGCGGGCCCGCCCCAAATAGGGTGGGACGCACGTTTGTGCGCGTTTGGAGCCGAGACCCATCCTGGATGGCGCTTGTGGGTATGGCGTGCAGGATCGTGCGAAGAAATGCCGTGCGATTCGCATTTTTCTACACCCGTACGAACCGTTTCGCGTTTTCGAGCAAAAATGGCTCACGACGCCCCGGGGCGGGCCCGCCCCAAATAGGGTGGGACGCACGTTTGTGCGCGTTTGGAGCCGAGACCCATCCTGGATGGCGCGTGGGGGTATGGCGTGCAGGATCGTGCGACTAAAGAAACGCCGCGCGATTCGCATTTTTCTGCACTCGTATAGACCGTTTCGCGTTTTCGAGCAAAAATGGCTCACGACGCCCCGGGGCGGGCCCGCCCCAAATAGGGTGGGACGCACGTTTGTGCGCGTTTGGAGCCAAGACCCATCCTGGATGGCGCGTGGGGGTATGGCGTGCAGGATCGTGCGAAGAAATGCCGTGCGATTCGCACTTTTCTACACCCGTACGGACCGTTTCGCGTTTTCGAGCAAAAATGGCTCACGACGCCCCGGGGCGGGCCCGCCCCAAATAGGGTGGGACGCACGTTTGTGCGCGTTTGGAGCCGAGACCCATCCTGGATGGCGCGTGGGGGTATGGCGTGCAAGATCGCGCGACGAAATGCCGTGCGATTTGCATTTTTCTACACTCGTGCGAACCGTTTCGCGTTTTCGAGCAAAAATGGCTCACGACGCCCCGGGGCGGGCCCGCCCCAAATAGGGTGGGACGCACGTTTGTGCGCGTTTGGAGCCGAGACCCATCCTGGATGGCGCGTGGGGGTATGGCGTGCAGGATCGTGCGACTAAAGAAACGCCGCGCGATTCGCATTTTTCTCCACTCGTGCGAACCGTTTCGCGTTTTCGAGCAAAAATGGCTCACGACGCCCCGGGGCGGGCCCGCCCCAAATAGGGTGGGACGCACGTTTGTGCGCGTTTGGAGCCGAGACCCATCCTGGATGGCGCGTGGGGGTATGGCGTGCAGGATCGTGAAAAGAAACGCCGTGTGATTCGCATTTTTCTATACCCGTACGAACCGTTTCGTGTTTTCGAGCAAAAATGGCTCACGACGCCCCGGGGCGGGCCCGCCCCAAATAGGGTGGGACGCACGTTTGTGCGCGTTTGGAGCCGAGACCCATCCTGGATGGCGCGTGGGGGTATGGCGTGCAGGATCGTGCGAAGAAATGCCGTGCGATTCGCACTTTTCTACACTCGTGCGGACCGTTTCGCGTTTTCGAGCAAAAATGGCTCACGACGCCCCGGGGCGGGCCCGCCCCAAATAGGGTGGGACGCACGTTTGTGCGCGTTTGGAGCCGAGACCCATCCTGGATGGCGCGTGGGGGTATGGCGTGCAGGATCGTGCGAAGAAATGCCGTGCGATTCGCATTTTTCTACACTCGTGAAGACCGTTTCGCGTTTTCGAGCAAAAATGGCTCACGACGCCCCGGGGCGGGCCCGCCCCAAATAGGGTGGGACGCACGTTTGTGCGCGTTTGGAGCCGAGACCCATCCTGGATGGCGCGTGGGGGTACGGCGTGCGGGATCGTGTGAAGAAATGCCGTGCGATTCGCACTTTTCTACACTCGTGCGGACCGTTTCGCGTTTTCGAGCAAAAATGGCTCACGACGCCCCGGGGCGGGCCCGCCCCAAATAGGGTGGGACGCACGTTTGTGCGCGTTTGGAGCCGAGACCTATCCTTGATGGCGCGTGGGGGTACGGCGTGCGGGATCGTGCGAAGAAATGCCGTGCGATTTGCATTTTTCTACACTCGTACGGACCGATCTCGTTTTCGAGCAAAAATGGCTCACGACGCCCCGGGGCGGGCCCGCCCCAAATAGGGTGGGACGCACGTTTGTGCGCGTTTGGAGCCGAGACCCATCCTGGATGGCGCGTGGGGGTATGGCGTGCAGGATCGTGCGAAGAAATGCCGTGCGATTCGCACTTTTCCACACCCGTACGGACCGTTTCGCGTTTTCGAGCAAAAATGGCTCACGACGCCCCGGGGCGGGCCCGCCCCAAATAGGGTGGGACGCACGTTTGTGCGCGTTTGGAGCCGAGACCCATCCTGGATGGCGCGTGGGGGTATGGCGTGCAGGATCGTGCGAAGAAATGCCGTGCGATTTGCATTTTTCTACACTCGTGCGAACCGTTTCGCGTTTTCGAGCAAAAATGGCTCACGACGCCCAGGGCGGGCCCGCCCCAAACAGGGTGGGACGCACGTTTGTGTGCGTTTGGAGCCGAGACCCATCCTGGATGGCGCGTGGGGGTATGGCGTGCAGGATCGTGCGAAGAAATGCCGTGCGATTCGCATTTTTCTACACCCGTACGAACCGTTTCGCGTTTTCGAGCAAAAATGGCTCACGACGCCCCGGGGCGGGCCCGCCCCAAATAGGGTGGGACGCACGTTTGTGCGCGTTTGGAGCCGAGACCCATCCTGGATGGCGCGTGGGGGTATGGCGTGCAGGATCGTGCGACTAAAGAAACGCCACGCGATTCGCATTTTTCTGCACTCGTATAGACCGTTTCGCGTTTTCGAGCAAAAATGGCTCACGACGCCCCGGGGCGGGCCCGCCCCAAATAGGGTGGGACGCACGTTTGTGCGCGTTTGGAGCCGAGACCCATCCTGGATGGCGCGTGGGGGTATGGCGTGCAGGATCGTGAAAAGAAACGCCGTGTGATTCGCATTTTTCTATACCCGTACGAACCGTTTCGTGTTTTCGAGCAAAAATGGCTCACGACGCCCCGGGGCGGGCCCGCCCCAAATAGGGTGGGACGCACGTTTGTGCGCGTTTGGAGCCGAGACCCATCCTGGATGGCGCGTGGGGGTATGGCGTGCAGGATCGTGCGAAGAAATGCCGTGCGATTCGCACTTTTCTACACTCGTGCGGACCGTTTCGCGTTTTCGAGCAAAAATGGCTCACGACGCCCCGGGGCGGGCCCGCCCCAAATAGGGTGGGACGCACGTTTGTGCGCGTTTGGAGCCGAGACCCATCCTGGATGGCGCGTGGGGGTATGGCGTGCAGGATCGTGCGAAGAAATGCCGTGCGATTTGCATTTTTCTACACTCGTGCGAACCGTTTCGCGTTTTCGAGCAAAAATGGCTCACGACGCCCAGGGCGGGCCCGCCCCAAATAGGGTGGGACGCACGTTTGTGTGCGTTTGGAGCCGAGACCCATCCTGGATGGCGCGTGGGGGTATGGCGTGCAGGATCGTGCGAAGAAATGCCGTGCGATTCGCATTTTTCTACACCCGTACGAACCGTTTCGCGTTTTCGAGCAAAAATGGCTCACGACGCCCCGGGGCGGGCCCGCCCCAAATAGGGTGGGACGCACGTTTGTGCGCTTTTGGTGCCGAGACCCATCCTGGATGGCGCGTGGGGGTATGGCGTGCAGGATCGTGCGACTAAAGAAACGCCACGCGATTCGCATTTTTCTGCACTCGTATAGACCGTTTCGCGTTTTCGAGCAAAAATGGCTCACGACGCCCCGGGGCGGGCCCGCCCCAAATAGGGTGGGACGCACGTTTGTGCGCGTTTGGAGCCGAGACCCATCCTGGATGGCGCGTGGGGGTACGGCGTGCGGGATCGTGCGAAGAAATGCCGTGCGATTCGCACTTTTCCACACCCGTACGGACCGTTTCGCGTTTTCGAGCAAAAATGGCTCACGACGCCCCGGGGCGGGCCCGCCCCAAATAGGGTGGGACGCACGTTTGTGCGCGTTTGGAGCCGAGACCCATCCTGGATGGCGCGTGGGGGTATGGCGTGCAGGATCGTGCGAAGAAATGCCGTGCGATTCGCACTTTTCTACACTCGTGCGGACCGTTTCGCGTTTTCGAGCAAAAATGGCTCACGACGCCCCGGGGCGGGCCCGCCCCAAATAGGGTGGGACGCACGTTTGTGCGCGTTTGGAGCCGAGACCCATCCTGGATGGCGCGTGGGGGTATGGCGTGCAGGATCGTGCGAAGAAATGCCGTGCGATTCGCATTTTTCTACACTCGTGAGGACCGTTTCGTGTTTTCGAGCAAAAATGGCTCACGACG